CGCGGAAAAAATGCACCAAGTGGTGTAATTAATCACTTCTAGAAACAACCATTGGTTATGGTCAATACGTTCAGCTAATCGACTAATTCGACCACGTTCAACTAAATAAAAATTAATGGACTCTTCTGGTTGTTTTTAAGTTATCATAGAGGAGGAAATTCACTGGAAAACCCAATGGTCACGACCACAGATTGATGGTGATTGTTAATATTGGGGCAATGGTTTATAACGCGCAACCAATGTTAGCTGCCCCTTTTTCACTTGTTCTGGTGCAAGCGTGAGCGGGGTTAGAAAGACTCGTGCTTCGTTTCACAGTGTATGCCTTTATTTTCATTCTTGATGTTTGTAAACTGTTACCTTGATATGACATAATATTACTAGCACATTAGTCGTCTTTAAACCACAAGGAAGTTCAAGGAAAATTCTCAGTTGATGTTAAAATGTTTCGTAATTTGGAGGTTTGACGAGCATTGCTGACTTGGGTAAACGCCAGAACTAAAAGGATGGATGACACCTTTCTCCTCAACAACTCTTTGGCATCATCGGCTGGTAACAATTTTCTTGATGCCGGCGTAGAAGCAGCGCTTCTGGTTTACTTTGTCTGCATCTTAGTTATCGGCGTACCCGGCAACTGCCTCATCCTCCGCGTGTACTGGGGCAAATCCCACAAGTCCAGCACCAATGTACTCATCATGGGGTTGGCCCTGGCTGACTTAATCGTCTGCCTGCTTCGAGTCTGGGACGTTGTATGCTACTCGATGCTTCTGTCCGGACTGGACATACCGGACCCCTACTTGCAACGCTTTGACTGCTTCGTGCGCACCTTCATCGGCACGTCAGTCCTGATTACCGCGGCCATTGCGTACGACCGTTATGACTGCGTGTGTCGCGGCAGCCGGCGCATCATGACGTACGGGAGAGCCAAGAAAGCCATCTTGACTTCCCTCGCAGCCTCCGTAATGGTCAACGTTCCGCTCTTTGTACACATATCAAGCGGCGGGAAGTTTGCCTCGCTCAAGCTTGTGGACAACACGCTTTGCGTGACTATTTTTGCCGCCGTGCTGGTGTTGATAGCAGTCTGTTACAGCAAGGTATTGCTCACGGTGCGCAGACACGTTAGACTTGGGGTGCTATCCACGGGACTTGACAAGGATTCGCATTCCCAAAGGACAGTAGAAATTCGGACTTCACCCACAAGTCCCACCACTTCAACCCTGGCGTTGCTGCAGGTAGCCATCACTAGCACACCATTCTCGAGCACCATGATCGTAGGACAAACAATGAACGAGAGTGCATCCGAAACTGTTCTCAACGAGGCTTCCGAAACGTCTCGTTATTTGGGGGACACCAACCTCAGTAGCGATCGCCTAACATCTTACGCGGACACTATCATCTCGGTAAAACCTGTGACTCAGGATGTAGGCGCGTCTACGACTCAGAAAGTAGATGTACCAGAAATTCCAAATGTAGGTGTACCAAAGACTCCGGATAGAGGTGCACCAACAACTCCTTATGTAGGTGTACTGAAAACTCCAGGCGCAGTTGAACCAAAACATTCGGTTGAAAATGTACCAAAGACTCCGGGTGAAGGTGTTCCAAAGATTCTGGATGTAGGTGTGCCACAGGCTCCGGATGTCGGTATACCGAAGACTCCAGGTGAAGTTGTACCAATGACTCCGGGTGAAGGTGTATCGAAGGCTCCGGGTGTAGGTATTCCACAGGTGTCGGATGTAGGTGTACCAAAGACTCCAGAACTAGGTGTACCAAAACTGACGCTAGCGCAGTCACCTCGGTACCGAATCACAGACGCCGACAATCGACAGGACCGTCCCTCCAACGGCGAACAACCACTATGCTCTTTGTCACCAGCCTGGTCTTCGTTCTGTCCTGGCTGCCGTACTGGTCTGTTGTCGTTTCGCTTCACGTTCGCGACGAGAGATCGCTCGTCTTGGAGACGTTAGTAAACCTGTTGTTTCTCAACAACGCCATCAATCCGTTCATTTACGGCGTGGCTAACCGGCGGTTTCGGAAGGATTGTGGAGATGCTCTTCGAAACATGAAGCAATGCAGATGATAGAGATTTTATTTTCTTCGCTATTAGATATCAGCATCTGAGCGGTTGCTGTACAACCCAAACTGATTGAAATCTCAGAACAATGAGCTAAAACATGTTACTTCTCCTTTACGGGAGCCTGACCAATGAAAAAGTAAGTTGAAACATTGCTAATTGAAAAAAAATATACCCGATAGTGTATGTAGCAATCTCATTGAGTGATTTGTTACGGTACAATTAACTATTCAAAAGCGGTCAAAAACATATTTTAACTCTCTTGTGCACAACCTACTCGCTATTTACCACATTTGTGGTAAATAGCGGGTATGTAAGTTAAAGGTACGTCAGCCATTTATTCGAGGATTCTTTAGGAATTATTTATTTGAGTTGAAGGATTTTACGGGGAGGGAAGAAGGATTTCACTTGGACAATGCTTCACGTGTTTCTTTCATGCTGGGGTGCCACAATGTACAATTCTCCATTTTTAATATTATTTTCCAAAAATATGAACATGTTAATGTTAAAGCTCTGGGTAGCCCCGCTGATAAAGACGAGTTCCCAGTCCAAGTTGTCAGATACTGTAAATGTTTGTGTTTAGATCAAAGGTGGGCCATAGTTTAACCATTTATCATTTTAAAACATTGTTCACCCCCCCAAAAAAATCCGATCAAAAATCAACGGGCATTATACTTCGTTCATTTTCTTTTCATTTATATATTTTTATTTGCATAGTATTCTATTTATTTTCTGTGTAGACATTTCGAGCTTGGGTAGGCAGGCCTTAGGGCTACAGTGTTTAAGTACACTTTTGTTTACCCTGGCCGGTTTGAAATGTTATTTTGTTCTTGTTTTCCGTCCCTCTATCTCCTCTCCCCTGTCAAACTGTCCACCCTCCCCTCCCTCCCTCCCCCCCCCCCTTCCAACCCATTCCTACTCGCATCAGTCTTTAGTCTTGTCTGGTCATACTTTTCAATTTTTTTTTTTTATTACTTTCTGATTTTTATTTGCTTTGTCATTGTACTTTTGTTCATTTGTTGGCCGAATAAATAATAATAATAATAATAATAATATTCTCCATGAATTGCATACACAGCGATGTTTGCAGGATTCTAGCGGGCGCCTATAATATAAGTGCATAGGGCCTATTCATGTACACACCCACGCATCAACTTCGTTCTCAGGATGTCGGAAAGTACGCGCTCCCACCACTTTTTGCTCTCTAAACCTGGCACTGGATCATTTGCATATCCAAAATTATTGGATACTAATGCAAATTCGGCTCCCTGTGGGCAATGTATTCTGGCGCACATTATCATGTGGTCTGGTGATAATACTAAAATGTACAACTCGACACATTCACAGCAAAGTCTTTTGGTGCTTGACTCAATAGCTTGGTAGCGTTAGGTTATTTGTGGGAAGCTTATAGGGCTTACTTTGGTTAATTTTCCGGGGACAGACAGACCGACCAATCACCAATTGACATGTAAAAGCTCCAGTCAGAGCTTAAAAATAGAAGTTATAGCAACCTTATACGTGTTGAAATAATTGGGATCATATTTATGTGCGTACTCATATGTGCGGGTCTTAATAATCATATTGAAGAGAAAATCGCGCATTGATATGGCTTTGATCGGGGTCACTTACACACCCAACAAAAAGAAAGATCCCCACCTATATAATTTTTTTCTGTAAATCAAAAACTACTGTGCACATCTTGCTTAAATTACGACTAATCAGTACAGACATTCAATAGGTATTCAGCCATACTCTTTGTTTGGCCATACAACAGTGATAATGTGTTCAAAATAAGTACCGGTGTGCAATTTATGACAAATGCTACCGAAAACAATTGGACTTTTGTATACGTGTAAGGTGAATGTGAACAACAACATGCACATATACAAAAGTGCAACTGTTATCAGTATCGTTTGTCATAAATTGAATAATTTCGTAAACATTATCACTGTTTTGGGCCAAATAAAGAGTTTGGCTGGATTGCTATGGAATTTCTTTAGTTTTTGAGTTAGACAAAAAAGTATTGGGAGGGGGAACTTATTTCTTTGTTGGTTGAGTGTATTATTTGTAATACACTTGTCATTATACTATGGAACCTAATGCAGCGTAGTATTGCTGTACAATCAGAGCGCGATTAAGGAGTTCCCAGCCCAGGGTTGGAAATAAAGTAGACCCTGGGGAAGGGGTTGACAATTCGCACGACCTATTTCCTGCGATGGCGATGATGACTTTACTGTTAGTCATTTAATGGAGTCATGCACTCCTACAATAACGTGTTCTGCAGGCGAAATAAGTCACGCGTGCGTGCGTGTGCGCGTGTTATTTAAGCAAAGTACCGGTACTCTTGCGATCCACACGCCATGGACTTTGCTGCTTTTATTTCTGACAGTCTCAATAACAGTTCCTAAATGGACCGACACGATATGACTCAAAGCTATTGAAAATTGTTTCTTATTCCTCACTCTTTCGATTTGGTGATTTGAAAAATAGTAAACTTGAGAACAAAAACCGTTCTCTCCGAAGTGATATCCTGCAAATTAATATGATTGAGCCGTGCTCTCAGTTCAATAGAGAGTTGGTCGATGAGGGGTATCGCACTTTCGGGGGTGGGTCTTGTGGTTTCATCTAGATAATAAAAAGTTCTTAGATAATGTACCATTTTGTCGCCGTCTAGCACTCGACATACATGCCACACAACATGCGCCAAATAACATCAACCGCGGAGACACGAATTGTAGATGCTCTTATGGAAAAGATGTCGCTTTCCGACGCGCTTTAAATTCAACTGTTTGGATGAGTTAATACACCTGGTAAGACAGAATAAGAAAGGTCAAGCCTCTAGAGCTAAAATAACATCGGGAGACCGGAAGACGAACGAGAAGGAAGGAAGGTGAGCGTTGCGGTGCGAAATATCGAAGTTCGGGATTCCGATATGGAAGGGGCAGATTCCACAAACACTACGCGTACGCAGTCCGAAGTGTACATGCACATCCCTGGCAGAGGAGAATGCATCTTTTTAGTGGCTTTCTTCATCCTGGTCATGATAGTGGGATCCTTCGGTAACTGCCTGACTCTCTGCGTCTACTGCTCCAAATCGCTCAAATCCAGCACCCATGTGCTGATCATAGCCCTGTCCGTGGCCGACCTCATCGTGTGTCTCCTCCGACCCTACGAAATCGCCTGGTACTCGTCGTCCCTAACCGAAGACCCCATACCCAGGCTGATTTTCGACGGCTTTAACTGTTTGGACCGCACATTCATCGCGACATCTTTCATGGCCACCGGCGTCATCGCGTTAGATCGTTACGATTGCGTGTGCCGTCCCATCCACCGGAAAATCATGACGTCTAGTCGGGCCAAAAGAGCCCTGTTGGCGATCTTGGCAGCATCCGTGGTCGGAAACACTCCTCTGTACTTGCAAACGAGCCTGACAGAAAACCCACCGTTGCTGAACTTTATCATTTACATCTCCGTATTCGTTTTGTTTTTAGCCTCCCTGGCGACGATAACAGTGTGTTATAGCAAGGTCTTTCTAACGATACGGAGACACGTGAAAACTAGCCCCGAGTTGTATGGGATGCGGCAAGTGTGTTCTACTAGACAGCACGCCACTGTGGAAGATGCATCTCTCTCCAATAAACCTCCGTTTGATATTGGCCTCGGGCCGGCTCCCGAAATCCAAACTGTTGGACTATCATCAAGATGTCCCGGCAATTATCCAGGCAGGTGGGCCAATGCCCGGGGTTGTGGTGCTGGCGAGACCACAGCACGCCACCAGTTCATCATACCGAACGGACGAAGACGCGCCCCGGCACCGGTCCTGCAGCGGAAAACCACCACAATGCTATTCGTCACCAGCGTGGTGTTTCTGGTCGTCTGGTTGCCGTACGGGATCAATGCCATCATGGACGCCTTCGATGAAAAATCAGTCTTTATGAAGGTTTTGTCCAACATCCTTTATCTGAATAACGCCATCAATCCGTTCATCTATGGCCTCGCTAACCGTCGATTTCGGAAGGAGTGCAAGGACGTTCTCAGCAGAATGAGACTGTACTAGTCTCAGAATTTGTTTTTCATAATGTTGCTATTCTCACGATGGCCAACCTAGATAAATCTTTGTACCTGACTGATTGACATGGGCGTCGCGAGGGGGGGGGGGCAAGGGGGCACTTGCCCCTCCCCCGGAAAAGCAAAAAAAGAAAAAAAGAAGAAAAAAAAAAGAAACAAAAGAAAAGAAAAAGAGGCGCGAAGACAAAGTGGTGTAAATTTAATGAGTTGGGGGGGGGGCGCAAAATGTCCCTGCCCCCCTCTAAAACTGATAAATCGAGAATGTGTTGAGAAATACAAGCATTTTTTGGCAAAATTTTTTTTGCCCCCCTCTAGAAAAAAATCTTGGCGACGCCCATGCTGATTGACCGACTAAATATACGGTCACTTCCTTATAAAGGCACGTAGGAACATTTTGCAATCACTGGACACGCACTAATACCAATTTAAAGAGCAAATCTTTGCTCACTGTGAAGATAAGACTGGTACAACATAGCCCGTTAAATTATTCCGCCTGAAGTAGTATCGTTTGGAAGACAACAATAAGATCAGGGGTTAAGAAAGTTAACCCACGGGCATTATTTTTAAACGACACCCCAAATACAAGTTCAACAAGTTAGTTAATTTTTAAAAATGGTTTTGTCTTTCGCCGACGTATTATAAAATATTTCTTAAGAAATGTTGGTTGTTATGCACCTTCCCTAAGAGTTTGAGCAATTTCGTTGCTTCCAACGAGAACAAAGGCATAAACACCAAACGAGTCTCTAGTGTTCCTCAACTCTTAAGTGTGCGACAGTACCAACATTGTATTTAAAATAATGTTGATACTTACTCCACAATTCATACTCAAGTTCCCAATTGAGACATACAAATGTAGCCAAAAAGCATCGTGAGTGCCCCTTTAACCCTGTTTGAACTTTGACATATAATTTCTGAGGCAAAGATCAGACCCAGGCCAACTCCCATGGGCTTTGTATTGTCCAGCTCCAACTACAAGGCTTGTGAAGTATAGCTGCTGTTATCACGAGGCCATCAATCATCCTTTTATAGGCCCAGTCATGAATCATGGAAACGGATGGTCCTCATCATTTTTAGCTATTATTCATGTATATGTTGCCTCAGGCTGTTGTGGTTGGGGGATAACCAGGCAAAAACCAGGGAAATAAACTTTTGTTTGCGCAGGTACTGACCAAATACAGAGTAATCTGGGCATTTACACACTTTGTTTGGGCCACAGTGGGCCTCTGTCAATCCATTTAGACACAATGATGGGGATTTTGTTCACCAAAACTCCTACTGAAGGGATTGTGTTAGACCGTATCACCCATGCACCATCATAAAGATAAATACAAATAAATAGGGTTATAATGTTTAACCTTGTTATGCCAATGAATGCGCTAAATCCAATTCTAAATCCAATTCGGAATTAATTGAATAGAATTTTACTTGAGGCTTTACCAGGGTTGTTCTGACTGTTTTTTTTTAAATGGAAGTCGCCTATTGCATTACTGAAAGCTACGCATGGTAAACGTTAGAGGTTGTAAAAAAGGGATACGGAAACAACAGATGTGAAAAGAAACGAAACAAAAAGAAACACCTCTTTCTGAGGAAAAAATGAAAGATATTTTTCTTTTTAAGAAGAGCAAGCCGTATGATGAGGGTTAGCAAACTTAAGGCACCAAATTCCACAAAGATGCCACGCGCGGAAAAAAAAAAACTTGGATAACTCTACGTCTCCACCAGGGGAATAATTGTTAGAGTGCATGGGTGTAAGGAGACTACAGGCCTAGTCACCCACTCAAGCACCCTATCTGGCAGGTGGATCCAAGGTTGAGACTCTTCCCAATTTGCCGACTTTGCAGCTAGCTATACGGGGAAGGGGTTGATCTGACCATTGGTCCGCAAAAATAGGAAAGTCCAACAGAAAACAAAGTAGCACTTGCCTGCTACACTCAATGCCCCTGCGACAGTTACCCCCCCCCCCCCCCTGAGCCAAAGGTGAATCGGAAATGCTACCGTGCTCAAAACGCGGCGACACAACGTTCCCGACTCGGAAATCGAGGGACTCTCTCTACGTTGGTCTCCATCACTTTATTAAATTCGCGGGTTTTCAGATATAGTCTGTTGAATACACAACAGTAGTCTATGATTGTGTGCGAGCAGATTCGGCGATTAATTAGGCAAGACTGCGTCGTGACCTCGAGATTCTGACCATTTAGCGGAGCCTTCTATCGGGTCTTCAGTGACCTGTTGTAGTATTACAAAAGCATGTCAGCCAAAACGACTAATCAACAGCATAGACCAACATTTCTGATCAAAAATGACGTCACAATTTGTATTGGCTGATGGCGCGTGGGGACGCATTCAACTTGTACTGCAGTTCCGTTGGACAACGGGTAATACTCAGATTAGTCTACAGACGGGGGTTCGACAGTCGACACTCATTGTTTTTAAAAGTAGTTGTCAAGTAACCCCTAACGCTTGCATTCAGTGGTCTTGAATTCCCGAGGATGAATAGTTTACTATTATTGTTGATTGCTTTATTTTTGAGGGATGACACCATGACACCACGAATAGTGGGGTTTCAAATGAAACTCGATTTTTGTTCTACCATTATCTATTACAGTTAGGTTTCTAATGATTAATCGAAAGAAAATGATGAGCAACATTGATTGTACTTTTCAAAGATAAATGAATCACATCTGGCACCTTATAGTACAAACGTTGCAGTGGTTCACAATGTTCATAAAACCCAACGTTATTGACTTTTGTCTTAAAATCCAGCTTTGAATATAATACATGTATAATAGTTGAATTAGGGACAACTTTTTCGTACGAGCTTTTGGTGTGAGCATTGATTAGAATTATACATCTGAATGTCTTCAAAGATTAACCTTATGTCACAAAGGACATTTTTCGATGTGCTACAAACGCGAAAATATAACGATGACATCAGGCCTACTCAAAGGGAGGGGCGTGGGACGCAAGAAGGGGGATGACCCCTCACTAGCCTCTTGTATCCCCATCTAGTTTTTGGGCACCCTGCTTTGATGAAGACAAAAGTAAACTTACAATTTTAGACGCAATCCCGCTCGAGTATATTTGACCTCAGTTTCGCCTCCGATATCGAAAACCCGACCACGATAATATGATCACATCAATATTGCAAGAAAATCCCGGGCCAGAAAAACAGAATTGACAAAAGGAACGGCACAAAGGGTAACCTTTCAATAAGGCATAATTACAACAGAATTGGTGCCTGTCATGCTTCGACTGGAAATATGATTGTTTTCAAAGATAGAATGATAGCTTCGGCTGGCATTGAATTGCTGTGAGTTTAACTTGGTTGTGAACTTATTAAGAAAGCACGGCACTGCTCTAAGTTGATTGATGGCCTCCAAATAAATCTGTTCCCTACTTTTGCAAAATAGAAATAAATTTGATTGATACGCTTCCAATGCAGTCTAGTTCGTCTGTCGTTGTTACCTTTTGATTTCGAGCAAAGCAAAAGAGATTCGTAGGTACGTAACGGAAGGTTGCCACGTGGCTTTTGTTTATATCTTCAGTTGATTTCATTAGGTTGAATTGGATCAGAAAGGTGACTTGGCGGGCATTAACTTTAGTTTGAGGCTCTGAAATTGTGGGTTTTCTTTGTTTTCGATCGCATGGCCCTTTCCTTCTATCAGCCAGTCGGAACAGACAACAGACTTACTGCTTCAAAAGTAACCCTGTGTTGGACAGTATCCGCCAGCGACCCCTCGTGCAAGTACTCCCGGCCTTAATGGCGACACATAGAGAGGGACGTCACGCATAAGAAAATCGTGGCAAAAACCAACTTGACAGAGGCCGTAATATTTTGAGGCCAGGTGATACTGTTGCATTAGTTAAGCATGAATGGCTTTGGGCTCCACTCACTCGCACATTTACGGATACCGGTATAGCTAACAATATTCAAGCTTTCCTGCATTAACAATGTTGGGCAAATCTCTTCAATCGCTAAATAAGCAGAACATAAAGCTTGTCATTCTTTTCCTAAAGGGCCCATGAAATGTAATATTGTTTATGCAATCATTGAAAATGCACCTTTGTGTCCCTGTAACCTTAGTTTCAATTTTCATTTTGACATTTGTAAGGGATTTTGGTGCCACTTTTGGTTTTTATGCTAATGCGAATTTCCATATGCATGAGCAAAAGTGTGATGTCATATAAGGCAGAAACCTCAATGTTGAAATTAGTTTATGCACAAAAAAATTGAAAATTTCTTTTCATTAGTGATTCGTTGTTGTGTCAGTTCATGCATGGCAGTAAGCCAATGAGCACACTTTTCTCACAAATGCTTTCAATGAGCATATTTTGGGCTCACTATTACAATAAAAAACACCTGTCTACCTGAAATGACATCACGAGAACAGCGCCCTCAATTGTCCGGAGAAGCAAGGCATTTTTTAAAAAATGTTTAAAGAAGTGCACTTTTCAACAAAATTGACCGAAAAGGAATATTAATTAGTTTTCATACACTTAAGAGGATTAGAAAGTAGCACAGAATTTGTTGCTAATAAATATTCACTTCATAAGCCCTTGAAAGGATCTGCAGAGCTCGTAACAGCAGCATAACTAGGGTCAAACTATTATAAGATGGGGGAACAGAGGGGTGCGTACATTTTTCAAGGGGGCGCTAAAGGCAAATGAAACGAATCATTTGAAAAGTACAGTAGAATGTTTTCCAATTCAAGATTTCAGATGGGGGTGGGGTGGGAGTGGGGGGGGGGGAGGTGGTACGAATATCGGGCCCGTGCACGTGCCCCCTCCCCTCCCCCGACCTCGGACTTACGCCACTGGTTCATGGTTCATCAATGTACATTTTCGGCCTGTGTTCATCAATGTTCATATTTGGTTTCGTGGTAACCTTTCCTCATTCTGTATTAAGGCCTTTTCCTCTTTCTATAAGGCTTTGCTGTCTATCAATTTAGGCTTAACTGCCAGTGTAACATACTATATATTAGTAATGTTAAAACTTTGAAACTTGTTTTATTGTCTTTAATGTACATACACGACTTGTTACATATCTTATTGTAAAATGGTAACAAACATGTAATTATAACAATAAAGAAAACAATATTAAGAAACGATAACAGATGCTTGCTCTCAATTCTTGTTTACTTTTCGTTTCCATTTAAAGGTATACAAGGTTGCCTTTCAAAGGGTTATTTCAACTGTTCATAATTCACATATTGACGAATATACCCAGCACCAAGGACGAATGCAGAACACTTTTTTCGGTAAAACACAGAATTTCGGTACCCCAAAAAGGTCCAGAAATCACGGCGTGGGGTTCGGGGCCCGCTGAAGGGCCCCGAATTGGATTCTAGATGCCCTGTGGTGCAATCTCAGCCAATTTGGGGGGGGGGGGGGCATGGCCCCCGTTGCCCCCCTATGGATTCGCCCTTGCCCAGCACGATATGTGACAGAGGAGTACCCTAACTTCCTATAACCCATATACCCCTATAGACTATTGCTATAGCCACCCCCCCCGATATCTCAAAGGAATTCCTGAGATTCTGGTAACACAATGACGAACACAAGGGGGGGGGTTCCTCTGTCACATGCCTTGCTACATATGTTGACGAAAGTCCATATTATTTTCATTTAAAGATGTGTTTCCGTGCTTTTTTTTAGTTTCAACTCGAAAAACGGATTTGTTTCTTTCAATTACTATTTTCCTATAGAAATATAAAAGTTCTTCAGTTTTGAACGAGACATCGAACGGAAAAAAAAATCCACCGATGTTTAATAATTAAATGATTTCTTCACAAAATTCAAATTGCTAGCTACCAGACAATTAATTCGGTTCTCGTGGGGCGGGTTGATATGGGCGCAAAATGAAAACCCCTTTTCAGAGAGTCGCAGAAACCCAAAATAAAGTATTTTTTCGTTAAACAAAACATACAGATAAAAAGTGCGTTCGGAGAACAATGATTTTTTGAAGAGCACGGTGTATCATTTTCAAATTTCCAATGTTTAACAGGATGTTTTAAAAGTTGGAGCTATAATTGAAACATGGTAAGAATTAAATCAATATAGTTCAGCATTAGGGGCTCATTTCGCCCCTTGCTAACTCGTTTGCTTCTTTCCGATGTATCTTTACTGGGCGTTGAAATGGTCTTTGTCGCTTGAGGGCGATAGAGTGCCTGTTAGCAAAAAAAGGAGAAAAGAATAGATACGTGCTCAAAATAGTGAGACAGACGTGAACAGTGGAAGCAAGAAGATGTGGTTTGCACTGAGATTTCCCTTACACATTATATTTATTATGCTATTAAAAGGAATACTTATACTGGTTAGCAGCGCCATATACTTGGGCCCAGGTTTGAAAACAAGTGGTGATCTACATTGCTCAATTTCAAAAAAATCTTAAGGACAGTCAAAAGCAAAGCGGTGTCTTTTTACGGCTGCTAGCGACTGTCTGAGATCTTACCCTCGTGACAGATCACCCCGGCATCTTGCGTGTGGTTGCACTGAGTCCTCTCCCAGCAGAACGACGGGCAGTCGGCGATCTCTCTCTCCGACCCGTCACAGGCCAGCCCGTCCATGAGGACGGGGCCCTGGCCCTGACCGAAGTGAGCGGCAGACTTGGCCTCCTCGGCGTCGGCGAAGCCCAACTGGCGACAGATGACCCGGGCGTCGGTCACGTCCCAGTCGTTGTCGCAGATCGTGCCCCAGCTGCCGTCCCGGTGGATCTCGACGCGGCCGCTGGTGCGATTCGGACCGCCGACCAACCGGACGGTATCTGTTTCGAGTGAGGGTTCGGGTTAACGTCCACGCAGGGGAAAAATCAGGGATCAATTTGCAGGAAGATAACCTTAGTGGGTCCTAATTTTCATATAGTTCCAAACACAAATACGATTGAATGAGTTCAACTCCCAATCGTCTATTCACCAGTTTTAGATGACTGGAGTAATTTTTTTTCACAATTCTCCTTTTCTTCAAACAGTAGAAAGATGTTCCCTCCAAATTCTAAGGAGGCGGGGTGGTGCGTGGGGAGAGGCTACACGGGAAGGGAGGAGGAGAGGATACAGGCCTCGAATGGGTTGCACTTCTTTAGTAATATCACTGCGTTCATGGATGATTGCACGTTTAAGCGAAGCTGGGGAAATGGGGCTGGCATTGAATAGGTCTAGGTAACAAAAGCATATCCAAATTGAAGCTAGAGGACAATGCTTCCTGCATAGTTTAGAAATCTACCGATGCCTTTTCTTACAAATAGGGGCACATTTTTAAAATACGGGAACAAGAATACCGGAATACTTCATCGGGCTTTTGTGTGTTCCGGTAGTGTGGTTGGGTTTTAATCATCCTGATTCTGAGATCTACTACTGACGTCGGTTATAAGCATTTGTAACTCTAACAAAGCTGTCCCGCATTTGAATATGTCTTTTGATTTCTTAGCAAAACAGATCGGCAGATTACTCATTTTGACTAATTACTCATGTGAGATGGATTTAAAAAGTTTCTAGTCTAGTAACCAGTTCTAACATGAAAGAGTAATATCATTATTTACAGCTAGACACTGTTGATCACCACTGGTTTAAAACCCTCGCTTAGTTATTAATTAAAGCGCCAAAGAGCCTTATACACAGCTTAATTACATGCCTTATAAGTTTTACAAGGGTGTGGACTTTAAACTTTTTACCACTTTAATCTATTTAATTACTTTAATCTCTTTAATCACTTTAATCTCTTTTCCATTTGCCATTTTTCCCGCATTTTTTTGTTCTTGGAGTTTTTTTTTTACGAAAGACTACTACTGTCCCACAGCACTGCCCACAGCCTAAATCAACAAATGTCGGCCGACCTTCCTTTTAAAGAAAATGCCGGAACAAATGGGAATTTTTGAAAAATGGGAATCGAGAGCATATCTCTCGGGGACTGGGATATTACATATTTCATTTTGTACACCCAGTGAGTGTCAAAGATTGGGTGGCAGGATTAAAAATTTAACAGATGTGATTTGTTGGTGCCTCTGCAAGAAGTATCGGATATACGTGGGAGAGGCGGTCCAACCTACTGGGTCGTATTTTTTTTAAAGGAAAATTATGCATACAAAAGTAGCATATGCCCGCTACCCCTCTCCCCATCCCGCACAGCCACACCCTTGAGCCAAAGATGGATCGACCCGTGGCAAAGACACGATTGATCACGATCAACGTCAGGTTGGATTAATACTTCTCCAAAAACACTCAACCTTTCTTTATCTTAACGACCCATACGGACTTAGTAGTAACGTTTTTTGCTTACTTGGTTTGCAAATGACTCCGGCTTCTTGAGAGTTATTACAGTGGTGGGGGCTGGTGCAGACGAACGGGCAGTCGGCCAGCTTCCTCTCGGTCCCCTTACACGAGACTCGGTTCATGACGATCGGCAGTTCGCTCTCCCCGAAGACCGAGCCGGTCTTGGCCTCCACCGCCTCAAGGAAACCCAACTGGCGGCAAACGATGGCGGCCTCCTTGAAGTCCCAGCCCTGGTCGCAGATGGCGCCCCAGGCGTCGTGATGGTAGATCTCCACTCGGCCGCTGAGGGCGTCGTCACCGTCCACCAGCCGGACTACGCTGTCTATCATGAAATCAACCAAAATGTTCGATCAAGGCTACTAATTAATTGGTAAGCTAGCGGTTGATTCATGATTCTTCTTCTTTCGAGTTTCTCCCATATAGCTTATGAGGGCAAACATTTTGTCAGCCATCTTCTTGAAGGTGGATCTAGGGACTCCAGTCTAATTCAGCCGTTTGGAGGAGAGTATAGGTGGCAGTCGTCAATTATGAGGCCTGTGTCCTCCGTGTGCCCCGGCTCACAATTTGAAGAAGCCAAGAAAGGAGCTTTTTAATGTTGAGAACGTGTGGAGTCTACTTACGCCACTAATGCAGTACCATTTTTGCATTGTTTTATAGTGATTTGGTTTTGGTAGATGTCTCCCATTCAAAATTGAATAACCTTTGCTAGACAAATACCAGTTTAGAAATGAAAACTAATTTCGGGATGAAAGTCGAAAATAGCACGGTGAACGCAACTTTAAGACTGCCGATACTAAATTGAAATGGGAGAATTTAAGTCGCGCATACCACTAAATGCATATCGTTAGGCATTGCAGGTGGCCCAGTGAGTGTTCTTTTTTATATTGTTGTAATTTTATTAGTAACAATGAATTCACGAAAGGTTTCCCATGCCCATCCAAGCGATACAAAATCACTGCTCTCTTTCTCCGCCTTAACGCAATGTGTCCATTGATGTCAATTTTGGTTTATGCCATAAAGCAATCTTACCTCGGCAACCCAGAATTTCGAACTTCAGTCGGTATGTCGTCGTGCTCCAGGCAGTGGGTAAAATGCGAAGATATCTGGTCATGAGCACCACGGGAAAGGTGACGGTCACCTGTTGTCCATTCCCAGTATTTCCATTCAACTGAGCAAAAAGACAGAACATTTGGAACTCTTTAGTTCTTTTCAACTGTTGGTGCAGATGTTTTTCTTCTTCAATATTACAAATTTAGCAAATGGGATGACGGTGCAACGAAAAGGAACAGCAAAAGTTACAGCTTCAAATGAGAAACCTAAACCAATCATCTGAAAAAATAAACCAGTGTTTCAACACGGAATGACACGATAAAATGCAATCACTAAATTTGGTAAGGAGTGGAAACATCAGATTTGCTTTCAGCACGAAGTAAATTCAATAAGGTTCTTAATATTGACCAGTGATTGATTTGAAATTTGACGTACTTCAGAATCCACGAGCTTAAGTCTGCTACAATGTTAATCAACACCATATGCTTAAACTTTGTTTCGAAAACAGCACAAGGTAAACATAAAAAAACTTAAATTATAAAGTTTGCGGGTAACATCATGTAGAAAGATATCTCTTCTTGGAAGAAGTGTGGTTCTGAAAAGAACTGGTTGGTTGAGAGTATAGAGCTCATAAAACAGCTTGTCGCAGAGAACGCCAATTTTAATTTCAATTCTTGATTAAGAATCACTCTACTGGAAGTCATTTCATGCATGTGACATACACAATCACATTTCGAGGGAAACAGGGAGTGGGGTCGGTTCTACGATTCGAACCTTTGGCCTGCAAAACTCAAGCAGCAAGGGTTCTCAAATAACTCGATATATTATTTCAATCACGTGATATGTTTTACGCATGCGTATTATAGTGAGTGATTAAACCTTGTTGCAGGAGAAAAAAAGTGCTTCCCTTACCTGTATAATTTCCCCTTCCGGGTCAGTTAAGCCCAACCAGTCGTCCGACTCGCCTGTGTTGCTGTACTGCACGGTGAAGGTCGACACGTAGTGCCTGCCCCCGGTGTGTCCCTGCATGATCAGACCGGTCACGGCCGTGTAATCACCGATGTCCACCTGAAACCACTGGCCTTCATGGGGGCGTGGCACCCACCCATCATTACCTGAGCCGGATTGGAATTGGTACAGGATCATTGGATGAGTTATACGAGAGAATGCGCGTGACATAGGTATCATAGCGCGGAATTGTATTGGAAAAAAAGCTTCACTTCACTTGCCAAACAAAATTATTTTGGGTCATATCATCAAGGCAGCTCTAACTCTATGAAGTATTACCGAATGATTTCCAGGTAAAGCTTAGCGCTATGCGAAATCAAGTTTGCCCGTCGTCTTTCAAAAGACGATTATCACAAGCAATGCACAAGGGCGGATCCAGAGGGGGGGGGGGGGGGGGGGGGTCAAAGGGGGCCATGCCCCCCCCCCCCAAAAAGAAACCAATTTTTTTTTATGTGACATCGCAATAAAGGCAGGCAATGAGTACACCACCATCTTTTCCTCAAAAAAAACATTGGTTAAAGTGGTCAGAAATTGCCTCAGATCGCACCACAGAGCATCTAGAATCCAAAAAAAATTCGGGGTCCTTAAGCGGGCCCCGAACCCCACGCCGTAATTGTTTGGACCCACTTTTGGGGGGACCAAAATGTTGTTTGCCCCCCCCCCTCAAATTGTGTTCTGGATCCGCCCTTGGCAATGCATTTGGCTTGTCGAGCTGGACCCGAAGCCTCAGTGAAGGATTACTTATTTTCTTCCTCCATTGATGGGGCCCAGCGTGTGCGTATAGGGTCATTCCATGTCAGACCAACGCACTTTTTTACCTCATGTTTTCCGATTTTGATAAAAATTGCTGTGCTTGTAGGTCCTGATGAGCAATGAATGCACACCAATTTTTAGCCCGATCCGACCAACCATGTGGTCAGGGCAGAAACCACAAAAAACAGACATTTTTAGAGCAAAATACCACCTTTTTGGTAGAAATATGTCAAAACCGTGTTAATTTTCATCGAATATATGCAAATTTGGTATTAAAATAATAAGAATCGCATGCTCAAATCAACTCTTTTGTAAAAAATAAATTTTGTGAAAAGGAGGTCACGTGACCTTTAATATGTTATTGTGACCTTTGACCCAATTTATGTAATAATGTATCATTCCGAAAATCAACGAAATGAAGATGACTTGATAGAACATGTCTTCCTCTATCAGAATCTACTAAAAATCAATTGGGGTCTTTAAAATTAACAACTTTATGACTATTTTTGTACAGTTGGTGGGTTACAAACGAGTTAATTTATGACTTTACATTAGAAATCCACCCACACAACTTACTATTCTGTTTCTAAAGGTACTTAAATTAATCTTGGTTTTGGAATTTCTCATGTTTAGGGCTGATGAGGTGTAACCAGACTCATAATATAAATTATCAGCAGTGGCGCACCCAGGATTTTGCTTTTTTTGGGGGGGGGGGGGGGCTCATAGCATTTTGTTGTCAAATTTATGTAGAAGATTGAAAAAAAAATCAAACAAACAAATTGACAACCTTGGAGGGGGGTGGGTTCAAGTCCCTTGATTCCCCCCCCCCCCCCCGTGCCACTGATAATTAGTTATCCAATGAGCGCGCTTGGAATATTGGAATATGAAACAATGCAATGCTGCTGTGACCAATATGCCACCCGACACACTACATTATTCCGTGTTCCACGAGCCATAACGAATTTATCTTCAAGCAAACTTGATGTCGAATGCGTACATTGCACGTGGCGAGAGATGTAGGTGCATAGTGTATCGGACCGTTCAGCAGCAAATAAAAAGAACACAATACATACATGTACATGTACATTCGATATTTGGGGCGCAATATAGCTGTGCAGTATTATATCAAATCACACTGTTGTTGCTATAGATGGACTAATCAGGATCTAGGATTCAAGGTTGCTTGAAGATAATACTCAATATCGCAATCAAAGTTACCTTACTCATTCATCACTACGCTTCTTGAAATTTAATGAGTCTCACAGACTTGGCATTTTTTTCCTTCGAGATAAATTTCACCTGGATGTGTGTCTACTGTACTGGGTCCGGGTAGAAAGCATAGAGCTGTTGCGTACCCTAAACAGTAACTGGGGGGGGCTCGAGGGGCTGGAGCCCCCCCCCCCCTCCCTCCAAGGTTGTCAATTTGTTTGTTTGATTTTGGGGTATTTTTTTTTGTTCAATCTTCTACAGAAATTTGAAAACAAACAAATTATGAGCCCCCCCCCCCCCACACACACACACAAAAGCAAAATCCTGGGTGCGCCACTGCTGATAATTTATATTATGAGTCTGGTTATACCTCATCAGCCCTAAACATGAGAAATTCCCAAACCAAGATTAATTTAAGTAGCTTTAGAAACAGAATAGTAAGTTGTGCGGGTGGATTTCTAATGTAAAGTCTATAAATTGACTAATTTGTAACCTACCAACTGTACAAAAATAGTCATAAAGTTGTAAATTTTAAAGACCCCAATTGATTTTTAGTGGATTCTGATAGAGGAAGACATGCTCTATCAAGTCATTTTCATTTCGTTGATTTTTGGAATGATACATTAGTACATAAATTGGGTCAAAGGTCACGATAACATATTAAAGGTCACGTGACCTACTTTTCACAAAATTTAATTTTTACAAAAGAGTTGATTTGAGCATGCAATTCTTATTATTTTGATACCAAATTCGCATATATTCGATGAAAATTTACATGGTTTTGACATATTTCTTCCAAAAGGGTGGTATTTTACCCTAAAAATGTCCGTTTTTTGTGGTTTCTGCCCTGACCATATGGTAGGTCGGATCGGGCTAAAAATTGGTGTGCATTCATTGCTCATCAGGACCTACAAGCACAGCAATTTTTATCAAAATCGGAAGACATGAGGTAAAAAAGTGCGTTGGTCTGACATGGAATGACCCTATAGTGACATCTCACTCGAAATGGTTGCTCAGTGAGTCGTCATTAAGTCAGTTAGTGTGTAAGTCAGTCAGTGGAAATCGATTGGTCCTTTAGGACCAGCAACACTTTTGCTCCTTTGGTATGTATAGACGACGTACCAACGTTAAGCCGAGCTCTACTTGGAGGGTAGGATGAGCTGTAAGTTGACGAAGCTGTGAGACTACTATCCGGGATAGCACCGCTCTCCATGCCTAGAGGCCCACTGGTACACGGTGCCTCTGCAAAATAGAGAAATCATCAATTACAACATGAATTTAGAAAACAGTTGTCGAACATAACATTACTCTTGGTGTTTTTACGATACCGTAATACTTGCAGTCTTGATGTGTTTACGATACCGTGACTGTACTGCAGGTCAACAAATGGCTTTATATAGGCAAACGAGCTGAAACAACGCCTCGTAACGTCGACTGGAGTGAAACGAAATATTTTTCAAAGTTTTACAGCAGAGACAACCATAACAGTCCCAAAAGTAAAATTGACAAGAGCGGTGCGCTAGTGAGGGGACGAATGGAGATAATTTTCACAATTAACCTCAAATTCACCAAGTCAACGATAATAAAATCACCTCTTGTGAACAATTAGATTACGGGAAGCTCAATACTCTCCTACATTAGTATTCAAACAAGGCTGCACAAAACAGCTATTTAATTGAATGGCTCTTAACTGCAAGTCTCTTCACGCATCTGGTCTACATAATAGGCCGGATTAATCCCAATCATTGACAATCCCTAGTAATCCTATACGATGGCACAACCCAGCTCGCAAATGAGAGACAATGAGGGATAGGTGCAAAGAGAACATTGGGCTCTGGCACCAGCACAAAAACAACAGTCCCTCTATTGTTAACACCCTTGTTGAGTTACCTGTTAATAGTGGAGTTCTATAGCCACCGTCTGATTCATCGCCAATGGAATGCGTTGATGACAACCCTGGATACATAGAAGTGCAACAAACATGAAACTGTGAATGAACAACATAATACTTTCAAAACAAACCTAGCATGTCTCATAATTGTTATGGAATTTTGCGTCGGCAAGTTTGTGATTTTTGTGTCGCAAGTTATTGGACATCAAAATTACCTCGATGAAGGGTACAAATTATTCATTACCGTAGCCTATTCGATTGCCGACCGTTTACCTAATTCAAATGGCAAACACATGGCAGTCAGCATCTTCAAAACAAATAGAGCAATAAACTGGTTAAACCTCACATGATAATATAATTTCACCTTTCTCGATAAAAAAAAAAGGAATTGGGTGTCAAACGACCGCAGAGGCACCACATTACTGTTTTATGCTTGTTCAGAATTTCCTTCACCATACTTCTCATGCAGTATTCCTATACAGCACATGTTCATGGCAATTGTCGCTTGGGCACCATCGGCTTAAAATAATACAGGAGAGTCTTTCTTGAACACATTTTCACGGGGCAGCGTAATCGGGGGGGGGGGGGAGGGAGTGGAGAATTTTACATGAAAACTTGGAAAAAAAAGATACATACCAAACAGGACAGTGATTACCAGTACAGTGAGCCCCACCTGACGACGTACCGATGCCATTTTGCCTCTGTGTAGTTCAACTCATTAAAAAAGTAGAGTGGAAGTCAGCTTCTATATATCACTCTCTCTCCCAATGGATCAATGCATTAAGCCTCGCCCCATCAAGCTTTGACCAATCACAGCTGTGACAAATATCCGAGATGCGCGCACAAAGGTCCGACGCGAGTGCACGTGTGTATGACGTGCGCAGTTGGAACAGGCAGCGTGGCATTGAAGAGAGGCACGTGGTGTTGCCCACGGCTGAAGTGGGCGGGGCTAATGGTTCAGTCAAATGGGCTTGGATATTAGTAACGAGATAAGCTCTCTGTGTGGTATTTCCCCGTGAAATCCCTCTCGATATGAGGTAACCATACCCGGATACCGGAAGCTCTTGACAATCAGCAAAACAATGCTTTGAAGAGGACACAAACATTTCCGGTGTTTTGACATAAATTGGTCAACGTGAGGTCAAAATCTGTACTTTATACAGATTCTTTTACATCAGTACTGGCAGGGATAATTCAGTCGAAGAAAACACTTGTTTCTTTTGTAGGCACGCTTTTATCGGTCGCCAAATGTTACAATTCAGCACTCCGGACTCAAGAACCATTGATTTACAAGAAAATAGCACTGGGAATCCCACAAAGACCTCTAAAAAGTTCCAGGATGTCATCGCCCCCACTTGGTTAATGTCAACCTTAATCATTTTGATGAAGAAAATGAACGTCCCTGCAGCATTCCGTGGTACACTGGTACGGTGTATTAGATAACGAATTAAGAAGTAGTGGCGTCATGCCACTAATTAATACCCATGCAACTATCTGACCTCAGATGCTCATATACAATCGGGTTGAGCAAACGGGGTGCATACCTATGTTCCCCAACCCCAACCCTAACCATAACCCTAACCCCAACCCTAAACTTAACTCTAACTCTAAGGATTTTGGGGAACATAGGTATTTGGTAACATCGGATAGACCCCGAGCAAACGGGACTTGCTAGTCAGCGAAACACACATTATCAACCGATATCAACGTAATGCAAGTTCAAGTATAAGGTGGTATTTTTTATCTCTATTTTTAGCACTTGACACACAATGCTTTTGGTGTCAATTAATCAAGGATACCGGAACTGTTTACATCCGATGTTTTTTTTACCTATTCCACAAATACGTTTCGGTCATCAGACCATTAGTGCTTCACATGCACTATGTAGCACATGTTTCCCTTTATAGAATAACATAATATGGTCATTGTATCACGGAGAGTTTACACTGTTTTGTATTAGGGGTATTGTCTCAAGTCAGGGCCTATATTTTACCATAACAGGATAAGAAGGAGCGATGCCAAAATGAGTCAGCTCGTATTAGCTCTCTGAGCTATAATTATCAATTAACAAAAACTAATTTGTTTCCAAATAAAGCGAAAGCTACACGAAGAAAATGATACCGATCAACATATTTTCTCTGTACCGTGCGAACGGGGTGGGGGGGGGGGGGCCCAGAAAACAACCAAGAAAATACCGCGTCCCTTTGGCGGTTCTGATGTGTCTCAGTGTTTCAACTTTTGTTGAAACTCCACGTCGGTAAAACAAAAAAAAAATTTGGTGTAAGCCTCCGCCTCCACTCTTCATTTTCTAATTAAAGGGATGCGCTTGACTTTTCAAGCGTTTTGTTCGTTTCTAATAAAAACACCACTTAAAAGCCAAAGAAGAATGTTCAATCTCCAACTTAATTGTTGAAGTTTTAGCTCAGTGGACGTTTCAATTTTAGAGAAAACGGTACAAAAACCATGGCTTTTGAGGCAAAATCCTGTAACATCGGACTTTTAACGCATTTTGACATCGGGGTCAATGTTGCAAACAAACCGAAACGAAGTCAATGTTTGGAGAAATCCGTCATTGAAAAAAAAGAGCGCATCAATCAAATTTAAAAGCAGTATGGCTTCCTACCTCTTTTCCGTTTTTATTCCTTCTTTTTTCCCTACTTTTTTTCCTTTCCAGGTGGAGGGCAAGAGTCCCCCCCCCCCCGCCTCCCCCCTCTCGACGCCCATGGGCAGTTTCCTTTTTGGGGGCATATTCAATTGAACCTTGTACCATTTCAATTAACTTCATCATGTAAGTGTTTTATTGTGGGAACTTTCAGCCTCTCATATTATTCACATCGTAAGCGCATTTGAGCGATTTTTTATGGAACCTATAAAAATGAATAACATACTATTATGGTGTATAATGATATTAATTACAACAACGTCTTAATTAAAACTCCTTCAAATTCGTGATACATACATTCTGATTTGTCAGAGCGCCCTCTTTTGATAATTTTGCTCTAAATGCCATGGAGCTGTAAACCACAGAACTCCGCGCTCACATTAGTCAATCTTAACACTTAGATGGATGTTGGCTGAAATGTTGAAGTTGTGTTCGATAGTTGAAGAATAAAAATTGTAAAAGGTTTTCATCACGACAGTTTGTTTGTTGATGTTTTGCTTAATTATGTGGAGAAATGACTTATGATAGTGATTTGTTGTTGATCATTCACAAATTTGGCCAACAGAGGGCGCTCGCCTACTCACCGTTAAATTGCCAAAAGCTGGCCTCCCAGGTGTGTGCACAATATTCTAAAAATAGAACGTGTATCCATGCAGCGCAGGGATATGTCTGCAAAGACTGGCATTCGGTGTCGTGTAAGATAATATAGGGCCTCATTAATGATTGTTTGGTGCTTATAAAAGACTGTATCTTACATAATTTGGTAGTTAAGTATACTCTTTGTATATTACTAAGGTTCTTTAGAGTGATACAAAAGCTGTTTATTCTAAGAGAAGGGAGAGGTAACCCAGACAGCGGTAAACAGGCTTCGCGGGGCAGTGCTCCGGAACTATACTAGTGAAAACGAGAAGAATAGAAATCTGTGTCAGTCACGGGAAGAGATGAGAGGAATGGTCTCCGAGTTGGGGAAAATACAGAGATAAATCCCCCGAATACCACTGGAAATCATGATGAAAGCTACTGTTTGTCGTGCTTAGCCTGGTGCAGCGACTGGCTACCTCCTTCCCTTCGACCCTGAGCAACCAATGAAGACGAATGAACATTAATTAATGAATAAATAATCAGTGATTCTCCGGTGAAACTTAATCTCCGCTGTGTGTGTGTGTATGTCAACTCGCCCCCAACGAGACTCAAGCCCCACGGCGCTACTCCGCGCTCCCTACAAATTGGTAACACGGATGGGGTGTTTGTAGTTATTCTTCGGCGGGACTATAGTTTTGCAGATGCTGCGGGGTCATCATCAAGCCATCGGACTGGTTCTCTTGGCCGTGTTTGGTGAGTGCAGACGACTGGGACTCGATCAAAAGTTGAAGATTTCGCCACAGTCATCGGGCGTGCGACCGCACGCTGTGGGTGTGTGACGGGGAGCGAGTCCAGGAGCGACACGGTGTGCAGCCGGAGATCGCGTCGGATGCATGGTCCAACGGTGTTGATGAGCGACGGTGCAGACGGGCTATTCAAGCATCAGTGGTTCTACCCGGAGGAGTTGTGTTGAAGTGGAGAAATGCACCGGAGACGGAGTCGACAATGAACTGTTTAATAGCGGTATTGTTCATTGTTAATTAGGCCCAATTGACATTGATTTTCTTAGTGAGTGCGTTTAATTTCATGGGAATTGTGTATTAGCGGGTACTGTTTGAATGTGGGGTAAATTCATTCAAGGTTATGTGCATGCATACACGGTTAAGGGGCCAGTAATTGTGTAGTTCAGACAGTTGTTGCGTGGCAGTCTGTGTGGGCTTGGTAGTTTCCCATTAATTTTTTTTTGGGGGGGGGGGTCCTTTCTGGCTTTGATACTTGATTTTGTGTGCGCTGTGGACTTGCGCGTGTGTGTAGCTAGGATAGTTCAGACAACTATGGCAACGGAGGCGAGTTTAATGACTCAGTTAGTCTCGGAACTAGCGAACGCGTTAAAACAGAATAGTACCACCAGGGAACGACCGATCAAACTTGAGCGGTTTAAGGGAAAGCCAGTGAGGGCAGGAGACCCGACTCTGAAGGAGTGGTTAGAGGAAGTTGATATTTACTGTAGGCAGTGCAACATCTCAGAGAAGGGGAAGGCTCAAGTGATAGTTGATCATTTGGCTGGACCTGCGCGAGTAGAAGTAAAAAGTAGGGAAGATGTTAAATCCAATCACTCGCTCTTGATTAAACTGCTTTATAACCAGTTTGGGGGAGGGGAGACACTACAGTCCCTTCAGAAGGTTTTCTTTGAAAGAGGGCAATTAGAAGATGAGTCCCTGATGGATTTCTCCCGTGCCTTAATTAGGATGTATGAGAGAATTTTGCGCATAGCTCCCCAAGATGAGAGAGATTCCTTAGGAAAACTGAAGGACAAAACTCTTATCAATCAGTTTGTGGCAGGAGCGCGCGGACAAAGCGCACGATTTGAGCTGAAGAGATTGCAGCTGTCTAACTCTGGCCAAACCTTTAACCATTTCAGAGATGCCGCACTGGAATTGTTCAAAGATTTTGAACTCGCTACCAAGGCTAAACACAGTCATGTGCGCCATGTAGATGTAGATTGTCCGGTCAATGATGATAGTGTAGATAGGTCGTTTGATATAGGTGTTAAGGTCGATACATTATCAGCGGGTGTAGACCCTAAGTTGCAACAGCAACAGTCTGACATGTTAAAATGCATGCAGGATATGCTAGGTCAAATGAGCAAGCAGCAGGAACAAATTACGTTCTTGATGCAGTGCATGCTGCGCACACAGGCGGCAGAACAAGCCGGTCCACAGGGGAATAGTCAGTTCCCAGGTCGGTCAGTGATTTGTTATAAGTGTAGAAAGCCGGGTCATTACAAGTCTCAATGTCGTTCCCAGCAAAACTCTGACAGAATTGGAACCCAAAACATGGAATCGGGTCAAGCAGGTGCCACAAAAGCACCTGACAGTCAATCTAAGCCTGCGTTAAACTGAAGGCCTCCACTTCCGTGGGCCGGGTGGTGGAGGAGAGTCACAAGGGGCCTTTGCCGTGTAATGCACTTGTTGGGGAGGGAGCGTTGCCTAAGTTGTCTGCGGACGAATTACTAACAAAGTTAGTTAA